CAACCTGGAGCACTGGTATTGTTACATATAAATCAAAGATAATGTGTGGTAAACATCACAACATCCAACCAAAACATGTTGACCAAAATACACATCTAGAGATCACTTTCAGCTTTCAACCTTGAAAGGTGCCTATACCTTATTACAATCTTTTATCACCTGAAGTTTAGAAAAGTTTTAAATATATCAACAGTAACAATCAAATAATTGACACAAACACCAAACCTCAATAGATATAAAAAAACCAGCATAAACAGACAACTACCACTGTGTTCTCATTTCTCTGTGTGAATGTGTTGATCTTTGTACAACACAAAGATTGTCAACAAATGTTACATCAAAATGTTAAAAAGAAAATATTCCATTGTATTTCAATGTGATTAATTCCAGCTAGAATATAGCATTTATTTACTTATTTATCCATAACTTTTCTCGCAACAATAACATATTCTATAATGTACTTTTGTTACTGCATTTCGATTGTGTATATGAAGCTCATGATGAGGAATGATTTAGAATATTTGATCAGACATTCTTCAGTGATAAAACTTTTTACATTAAAATGTATTTTACATAACATTTTAAAAATATTTATAACTAGTTTGTAAAACAATTGAAGGGTCTTTCCATTTAAAGTCTGATATTTGTAATGCACTCTTTACGACCTTTCATTTGAAATGCGACAGTCATAGCTTCTGAAACTTTTCACTTTTCGCACTTAATGACCCTATCCACCTTAATTTTCTAGATCGTAAGTACCATATTTGTAATGTAGACTTGATGACCTTTCATTTGCTATGCGACAACACCATCTTCTAGAAAGTTTGATTTTTGCACTTGATAACCCCATCTAACTCATTTTTGGAGGAGAGGAATTTTGTATTTGAAATGTACAAATTATGACCTTTCATTTGATATACAACAACCTTACCTTATGAGACATTTTATTTTTTGCACTCAATGACCCCACCCAACCCATTTTTGGGGGACGTTAATTTGATATTTGAAATGTAAGCATTATGGACTTTCATTTGATATGCGACAACCTAACCATCTGACAAGTTTGAATTTTGCACTAAATGACCCCACCATTCCCACTGGGATGAAAAAGGGGTTTAAAATTTTCATTTTTGAGTAGAGCTCATTTAGACCTTCAATTTGATATACCAAATGACCTCATATGCCAAAGTGCCAAAAATGATGCAATATCAATTATATAAATAGAACTTATGAAACTTACAAAAACAATGAAAAAGATGAAAATTTCAAATTGATTTTTTTGGGTTTTTTTTTCATTGAATGTTTTTGGTAATTAGTCAAACATATAACCATGTTAAACTCTTCAATTTCTCAAAATTTTACAAGGTAAGCTGTTGTTGATTCAGAAATACATGCCTCCGCTCGCAAAATTTTAAACTGCATTATCTCTAAAACGACAACAGGTATCTCAAATCTGCTAAGTGATAAATGATCTGAAGTTGAAGTACAACATTTTAGAAAAAAGATTTGGACAATTCTAAGGTTCATCAAGGTCACAATGAATAATCAAATATATGATGCAATACCAAACTTGAGAACCGGAAGTCGCAGAGACATGGGACTACCACCATTCAACTCAGGACCACTTGACCTTTCAAATGTCACAAGTTCAAGGTCATAGTACTAGTACACTTTAAAGGTAATGGTATAATGGTAAAATTTCATCATGACCTGACATTGACCTCAAAATGAAGGTCTTTAAATACTGATCATTTTTGCAATTTATAGTAGGTTGATATCTGTTACCTTTAAAAAAAAAACCCAAAATACTATACTTTTAAGAATTATCTTGTTGTAACTTTTGAACAGACGGTCTGACAGTTTTGAGCTTAATGTGTAAAATGTAGAGCTCGTCGAGAGGAACATTCAGTAGGTGCAAATTAAAGGTCACATGAATTAAAGATTATTGGCGAAGGTCCCAAGTCTCTACAACTTCTGGTTCTTGAAATATAATTTTTCAAAAATTGTGTATAATTTTTAAAGGGAAATAACTCCTTATAAGGGTTGATAACAAACTAATTGTTTATGTTTATTAACATTGCCATCTGCTCTTGTACATGCTGCCATTTTCAATTCGATTCTATCTCTAATACTTTTTAAGAAAAATGCAAATAAAAGAAATTGCTTCAAGGGGATATAACTCTCAAATGGGATGATGAAATCCTATGCAGTCTCATATGGTAATACATCATGTTGAGATCTACCTATTGTACAAATAAGATCATGATATCTTTAAAAACAACAAAAATGTTGAAAAAAAACATTAAAAGGGACATAACTTATAAAGGGGATGATGAAATCCTTAACAGGGTCATCTGGTAATACTTCATGATGAGGTCTATCGATGGTCCATAATTGTTCTTGATAACTCCAATAGAAAGGAGGGGAGGGCATGTAATAAAAATGCTGGTAGAAAAAAAAACATTAGAAAAACAATAAGGTCTTTCCTAACGGAGTGGAAAGACCTTAATAAACAATTGATACAATATTCATGCATATCAGTTTCAAGCTGAATATAACACTTTTGATATTGTATAAGCATCCAGTCTATCAAATTTTAGACTTGACTCTCAGACAAACAAAATAGAGACTAATATTTCGTTATACATTATTATATGCAAAGCATTTCAACATGAGATGATTTTCTAATTGCAGACTACTGATATCCAATATTCTTTCATGGAGATCATCAGAGTTTGAAATGTTTTTGTTTATTATGATGCAAAGTACATGATGATCTCCATGAAAGAATTTTGGATATCAGTAGTCTTAGCGCTAGCTGCAATCAGAAAATCATCTCATCTTGAAATATATATATACAAGTCTAAATTGAAAACAACGTTCAAACCTATGATTGCGTTGGATAAAAACCGCAATTTTTATACGTGTGCATGCAAAACAAATTTCTTGGTAGAGGGGTCTAAATACAGCACAAACAACATTTTCCAAAAGATCAAAAAAGTGAAAAAGTATATTTTAACAAAACGCATTTGACTAACAGGTCGAACAACAAATGTTCTTAAACCCTGCTGACTGCCATTGGCGATTGCCAAATAAACGGATCACCGATATAATAAATGGATCTTAATTATAAATTTAATACTAAACAGAAAACAATAAACTTGCGGAAAAGATGGTATACCGCAAACAAAAGGTGCAAAGGTTTTTGTACACCATATCCGGATTTCGACAATTAATGTCTCTTCAGTGATGTTAGAAATCGAAACGGTATTTGGAAAGCCATACAATTTACCTCAATTTAGGATAGACTCTTGAATTTTGAGGAGTCAAAATAGGATGAACGGATCATATAAACGCGAAGGCAAATATAATACAAGCCCAAACGAAAAAATATAAACAAGTCTAAATTGAAAACAACGTTCAAACCTTTGATTGCGTTGGATAAAAACTGCAATTTTTATACGTGTGCATCCAAAACAAATTTCTTGGTAGAGGGGTCTAAATACAGCACAAGCAACATTTTCCAAAAGACCAAAAAAGTGAAAAAGTATATTTTAACAAAACGTATTTGACTAGCAGGTTGAACAACGGATGTTCTTAAACACTGCTGACTGCCATGGCAATTGCCATATAAACGGATCACCAGATGTAACAAAATAGATCTTAATTATTAATTTAATACCAAACAGAAAACAATAAACTTGCGGAAAAGATGGTATACCGCAACATGAGGTGCAAAAAATTGTTCCACCATATCCGGATTTCGACAATTGATGTCTCTTTAGTGATGTTAGGAATCGAAACGGTATTTGGAAGGCCATATAATTTACCTCAATTTAGAACAGACTCTTGAATTTTGAGGAGTCCAAATAGGATGAACGGATTATATAAACCCGAAGGCAAATATAATACGATCCCAAATTAGAAAATATAAACAAGTCTAAATTGAATAAATATATATATATATATATACAAGTCTAAATTGAAAACAACGTTCAAACCTATGATTGCGTTGGATAAAAACTGCAATTTTTATACGTGTGCATGCAAACAATTTCTTGTTAGAGGGGTCTAAATACAGCACAAACAACATTTTCCAAAAGACCAAAAAAGTGAAAAAGTATATTTTAACAAAACGCATTTGACTAACAGGTCGAACAACAAATGTTCTTAAATCCTGCTGACTGCCATTGGCGATTGCCAAATAAACGGATCACAAGGTGTAATAAATGGATCTTAACTATAAATTTAATACCAAACAGAAAACAATAAACTTGTGGCGAAGATGGTATACCGCAAACAAAGGTGCAAAGATTTTTTGTACACCATATCCGGATTTCGACAATTAATGTCTCTTCAGTGATGTTAGGAATCGAAACGGTTATTGGAAGGCTACATAATTTACCTCAATTTAGGATAGACTCTTGAATATATGTGCCTGATCTAATATAATGTTGCAAAGTTTACTCATCCAATAAATTATATAATAGAGATTTAATATCAGACCAGAATCTTTCTCAAATTTATATTTAGTTATTGTTTTGTATGGTAAATGGAATACAAATGTATAATGTTAAAGTGTAACACATTCATTACAGTGGTCTTTCTCATACCTTTAGAATATACAAAATGATGGAATTGCTAACTTAATTTTTTAATTTGTTCAAATAATTGACATCCATAAGAGGACAAGTTGAGCTCTACACTAAAAGAAAATTAATACCATATTGCATGGAGTATGTATATATCAACAACGAAAGTAGATGTTTTGGTTATTTTTGTCATTGGGTTGCTGTCTCATTGATATATACCCCACATCTCTTTTATTCATGTAGAGAAACACTTTGTGTTGATGCATTTTCAATCATAAACTATCACAAGTGAACAGAACATATGATAAAATAGTTGAGCAAATTCACAGATTATGACATGAAAATATGTTTAAGAGATATCTGTTCTCTTGGTTTTAATGTGAAAGAAATTATTTTTTTTAATTATAGGAGTTGCCTATGCAGGACAACCACCAAGTGTACAGCCATATGCTGGTCAACCACCTGCAGGTATGCAGCCATGCATTTTCTGTCTTTTTTACCTTCAAATACTACATGTACAATTGATAGTATCTATTCTTTTGAATTTTGAATCATTGTAGGTGATTTTTAGTTAACCTTATCTATTTAAAGAGTTCTCTAGAATTATGTAGATATAAGAAGATGTGGTATGAGTGCCAATGAGACAACTCTCCATCCAAGTCACAATTTGTAAAAGTAAACCATTATAGGTCAAAGTACAGCCTTCAACACAGAGCCTTGGCTCACACCGAACAGCAAGTTATGAAGGGCCCCAAAAATGACTAGTGTAAAACCATTCAAACAGAAAAACATTGGTCTAATCTATATAAAAAACGAGAAATGAGAACTACTTATGAACCACATCAAGAAACGACAACCACTGAACATCAGATTCCTGACTTAGGACAGGTGCAAACAAATGCAGCAGGTTTAAACGTTTTAATAGGCGCCAACCTTCACCCTACCTGAAACAATAGTGTAACATCGCAACATAGAAAGACACACTATAAATTATCAATTGAAATGGCTTAACTCAATCAAAAGACATATCAACAAAAACAAGTGAACATACACTGAACGAATAAATTTGATCTATGACACAATGTAAAAACAAAATTAATAAAACAAGGGGGTTAGATGTAAAACAATATGTGTACATTTTTTCATCTATGTCAAAAGTCAGTATTGAAAAATCATCATACCATACCATTAAGATTAAAGGCACCTGATTCATATTTTAAGTTTGACTTCATGGGCTCAGGTTTTATGTCAGATTTCATTTTTTTGTTTTACTATGAATCCAAAGTCTACAACCCATGGGTACTGATATTAGCTTCTCAACAATATTGTGCCACTGAAAACTGTATTCCACACATAGTTCGTTTTTAGGCTTTTCACATTATGGTTTAGTTTCAAGGAGAATAGTCATGGTTAATATTTCTTTTGATTGTTCATTAGCTTGCTTGTTGTTTTACAAACAAAGTCAGTTAAAGAATATTATGCAAACACTGTCGAGTAGTTGAATTCTATGTGTTTGTGTAAGGAGGGGAGGGAGGCTCTTTTTAACATCCAAATCATCAAGAGGGCCAAAAAAAAAATGTTTTTCTTTTTTTGCTGTGTAGTTGTCAGAAATTTTGTCTTGGAATTTTGAGTATGAAAATCCTTGTGGTATATTCTGCCTCTCTTTTTAATGAGCTATAAAAATTTTCAAAATTTTGTGTAATTCTTCATAAAAATACAATCACTCCCGAGATTGTAATTTGAAATGTCTCTTATTCATGTTATTACAACAATTTCTGGAATAGTCCTATTTAGAAATATATTCCACATAGTGTTGGGATTCAAGTAGGAGGTCTCTGGTGGATGTTTGTCTCATTAGCAATCATATCTCATCTCCTTATTTTTATATTGCATTCATATATCATCATTTGTTTGCTATATAGATTTAGAAAGATTACATTTATTTACATATTTAATTTCCAATTTTCTCTACACCCTTTTCATAAGTGTGATGGAGTATGTATTAGTATTTTACCATGACAACCACAAAAATGTTTTTTTTTTACATTGATTATAGGGGGTTTTGCTGCTCCACCTGCTGGTGGAGGAGGATATTCACAACCGCCTGCGGGAGGAGCTGGGTATGGAACAGCACAGCCTGGAGGTTTACCCTATGGTGCTCCAGGTGGAGCCCCACCACAAGTTCAGTCAGGAGGAGTACCATATGGTCAACCAGGTGGAGCTCCAGCTTATGGTGCACCTGGTACAGGACAACCTGCAAGTTATGTACAGCCAGGAGTAAGTTTCATTCTTGTCACTTGTTTGTCAAAAGAAAATGTCAAAGTTTTTAAAAAAGCAAACTTCAGGATAAATATATAATATAAAATATCTAGTAAATATTCAAAATATAAAAATATTGAATATATTCTATTGTTGTAGTTTTAAAAATCTTTATTATGTTTTTAAACCGTAGTAAAAGCAAAAAAAGAACAAAATATCTTATGATTTACCGGTATCCGTAATTGGGTTGTTGTCAAGATCTCATTTATTCATACAAGAGCACAACAATCAATGTTTACAATATTAAAGCTATTTGTGAAGTAATTGTTTAAGACATACAGCTCAACTAGATTTCTTGTTGAAATGTAATTATTTTAGAGATGCTTTGGCTTTTCATTTGATTAGATCTTCAAACAAATAACATTCACTGTAAATAAAGAAATAAGAATTTAGCTTTGTTTTGTTTTGATAATAATTGCAAACTTCTAATATACTACTTATATTTATTTCTTTTGCATGAAATTACCTTTGTTATCACCAAGGAAAATATCAGATTTTATAGAAACAATATATTTTAGATGTATTATTATTGCACCATATATTTCTCAGGCACCAGGTGGTCCTAATGTTGGCATGGCAACTGCTGGAATGGCTAATCTAAATGTACAGGCTAACATGGTAGAAAGGTCAAGGCCAACTATTGTACCTGCTAAACCTTTCAATGCTGAACAAGATGCACAGATACTAAGAAAAGCCATGAAGGGATTAGGTTAGTACATTGCAGTAGTTATTAGTTTCTTAAAATATCAGTCTATTTTTTATAAGATCAAAAAATGAAGAAAACAATCATTTTTGTTCTGTAAGATGACAAACTGGAAGAAAATCCTTATTTAAAATATTGTGTGATAGGAAAACTTTTTAGAATAATTGACCTTGTTTAATTCAATGACTTTCAGTGTTTTATATATATAAAGATTCTACCATAATACCCTGAATTTAAAATTTAAATCACCAAACTACATTACATGAAGGTAAATCCAGAAAAGTGCTTCTAACTAATAAAATTTATTAAGGATTTTTTTTTCATTTTTTTTTGCTGAGCATATGAAAATTTGAACAAAAATTCTATCAAGAAATGATAACTTTTGTAATCTGCTTAGCAAAGCAGTCTTACCTGTTTCTCTTCATTAATGAAAAGAAAAGAAATAATAAAAATTATAACATAAATCACCAAAAAAAAAAAATGACAGTACAACAGACCACAGCATACACCAACACTGGACAATGTATATAAGCACACATCTTTTCCTCTTTTGAAAATATTAATTATGAAATTTAAATTGATTGCTTCTGATTGAGAAATTGCATTACTAGAGATATTCTTTTAAATATTGATAGTGAATCATGTTGATTAAATTGTGGTAAAAAAATTGTTAAAAAAGATTAAATTTCATACAAATTAGATATATTATATAACATGTTATGATAGCATTTCTCAGGTCATTAGTATCTTTATTTTATAATCGTTTATTTCTCCAGCTTAATGAAATTATGAACATTTGTTGTAGGCACTGATGAAAGAGCCATTGTGGATGTTATAAGTCATAGATCTAACAAGCAAAGACAAGAAATACTGGTTATGTTTAAGACTTTGTTTGGAAAGGTACATAATCAAATCACTGTGTAATGTTATAATGCCCTCAAAATTCGAACTTTGCAGTTTCCATTCAAAATCATTGTCTGTCTTTATTTGGAATAAACCAGATGAAAACAAACTTAGTCTGGGAGAAAATGATTAATTTATTAATTGTAATTTGCATTGAAAAAGCCTTCAGAAACTATGAGTACTCTTAGATCAATACCTTGTGTCTTTTGTTTTTATGCCCCCGCAACTGAAAGTTTGGGGGCATATTGTTTTACCCCTGTTGTCCGTCCTGCCGTCTGTTCTTCTGTCCATCCTTCCATCAGTCCATCCCATTATGGGTATATAGTTATTCCAGATAACTCCTCCTACAGTTTCACTTTGCTGGCTGTTTGTACATATATTGAAGGTGTGCATGTGGTCAGGGTTTTGATTTTAATTTATATTTTGCTCTTTTGGAAGAGAGTTGAACTTTGTCATTTTTGGAGTATATTGCATAAGAGGTTCATAGAGTTTCTGGATAACTCCTCCTACAGTGAAACATAGACCTATGTGCTCCCATGCTCAACTGTGTGTATTTTAAAATAACACTTTGCATCTGCAGGGGCATCATTTGTGTCTCCCAGACACAATAATATCTCAAAGAAAGTTCTACATTGACTTTGTTATAATACAGTTACTTCAGAGTGGAGTGCGGGGGCATCACTTTGTCTAGTTATGTCAGTTGTTTTTTTGTGCCTTGTGGCAATAGGATGAGTTGAGCCATTTACAACTGATTTTTACAGTTTGTTCTTATGTTGTGCTGTTACATCACAGTCCCAGATTAGAGGGAGGTTTAATCACTCGCAAACATGTTTAGCTCTGCCACATTCTTTAAGTTCCTGTCAAGTCAGTAGCCTCTAAAGTAGTTGTTGTTGGTTGCTGTCATATATCAGACCTTGGGTTTTCTTATTTGAATTGGGTATTGCTCATTGTTGAAGGCCATACAGCGACCTTTAGTTGCTTACATCCATGTCATTTGGACTCTCATTGGTAATCATATAATATCCCCATATTTGTAGATTAATTCATTGACTTGTAAATTATGAGGCATTGAAACACCATTTGTAATTGGAGTTCCAGCTCAGATTCAAATTGTATTCTTGTAATATCTTCAGGTCTTTTCTAGGATTTTTTATCTCTTAGATTGAAAAAAGAATGTGGTAAATGATGGATTATATTTGAAGTTTTAAAATAACATTTAAATAATCAACTGTTTTAAGTCAGTTACCTGGGACATTTTGTTTTATTTACATATTATAAAAAAAAAGAAAACTTACTTTCAGGATCTAATTCATGATTTGAAATCTGAGTTAAGTGGAGATTTGGAGGAGTTGATTCTTGCAATGTTTAAACCAACTACTTTCTATGATGCTTATTCTATTAAGAAAGCTATGGAAGTAAGTAATTATTTATTTATACATTCATACTTTACCTTTAATAATAATGAGTTTTATATTTAAGTTCTTACACATAATGTTAAATTTTTTTGCAATTCATTATGCCTCCTGTAAACAAATGAAAAAGATATGTCTACCTCTGCTTCGACACTGATATTATTTATAGCATACATCTAAAATTCCTGCTAATAAATTATAAGAATTTATTAAAAACTAAAGTTGACCAAAGAAGAATTTGGCTATTCCTTTGAGGTCCCTTTTGGTCCTATAACTCCTAATGTGATTATGTATATTTACATCCTGGCTTACAAATGTTCAGATTTAAGTGTTCCTGATAAAGGTAAATCCAGAAAGGCACTTTAGACGCAAGAAATGAATAAAGTGTAATTTTCATTCACTAACAATATTGTCAATTTACAATATCAGAGTTTCATATTAGCTTTTATTGATTGATAATTTTCGGGATTTTCAAATAAAGAGTTGTTGCCCACCAAGCATAGTCCAAGACACTTGAGTTTTGAAATCAACAACCAATTTATACTTTTACTGCATTTAATCATCCTAGAAATCAAAGTATTTTAGAAAAACCTTTAAAATTGATAAAATTGATAGTGTGTCAACAATTTGTAAAGCTTTCACCAGGAATGATTAAATGAGTCAAACCTGTCCTAAAAGTCACCTCAAATCAGCAGTCACCTTCTTCTAACGGTTATTTTGAAACCTCCAAACATTTCCCTATATTTATTAACTTATTTAAGTGGTCACCTCTCTTACTTGGTCAGCTGTCACCTATTTTCCAAAGAGATTGGCATTTCTACCTCTAAAATCAGCCATTTTTAAGAGTCAAGGAATCATGTCATACCTTAAGTACGCGATATCAATTGACGGTATTTTTTCATGTATTAATACTGAGCTTGAATTAGGTGTTTAATGGTAAAAAATTGGAAGAAAGTAAAATTAAATTGTAAATTTAATACAGTTTTCTCGTTGTGCATATGCCTCATGGACAATGATTGTTTGACTGGATGTACCCATTCCATGCACTTTGGAATCAGCAAAACAAGGCCTTATTACGTAATATCCTGTCATCATATATTGAAATTAGTCTCTATCAGTGGACAGCATCCAAAAGACATACTGATCAATATTTTTCCTGGAAAACCAAATTTTTTTTCATTCATATCTTTACTAAATGGTGTAAAATATGAAAATCAAAAATACATTACACACGCAATGGATGTAAATCCTTAAGAAATTAATATGTGTCATTAAGTTGTCAAAGAAGCCAAACAAATGGATTTGAATTGCCAATTTTGATTTCATTATACCTAACATATTGAAAACTGTGTATAGGAAAGGTAGGTTCTTTGAAGGATAAGTGAATGGAAATAAAATTAAATACAATACATTATTTTAGTTGTAATATAGGTATTCAGATCCAATTTGATATTGAGTATGTAAAAGTACAATTTTGACAGATAGAGTGCTTATTGTGGATTCATAATTATTCATTGGATACCTATTTTCATGGATTTTGTGGTTAAAAGTTGAACCAAGCATTTAAATAATACTCAAAATTGACAACAACACTTCAAATGGTCTGCAATTTTATTTGCCATGGTCTACATGTTTCGTACAGGCGTCATCAGGACAAATTTTATACAGAAATTAATTACTGAAGTACTCAAAGTGGTACATTGAATTTGACGTTGTCAAGGTGAGAGAAACAATGAAAAGTGAAAGTAGCAATAACATGAATAAAGAGTTATAAATAGATAAGATAAATATAGAAAAATAAAGTTTGTTTACAATGTAAATTTGAGTTCGTTTTACTTTTATATGATACATGACATTGTTCTAAAGGCTTTAAATGTTCAACAAAGTACAAATTTTTTATAAGCTTGAATACAGACGTATACAAAACCTTAAAATCAAATATCCATGCAAATGCAATGTTCCTTCAATCCACAAGAATTGGTTCCCAAGAAAATAAATGTATCCCCAGTATATGAAATTAAGAAACTGTGTTGATGAAAAGGAACATATCTACTCTTGATTACTGTTGATTAAAAAAAAAAACCTTTTACTGTCATTAAAGAACTAAAAAAATATTATAAGTATGTCAAAGGGAGATATAAGATTAAATGTTCACATGACTTCTTTCATTTCTACATGAAGACACGATTGGTTTCTACCAGCTGCAAGCCTGTGTTTGTATATTTTTTGTCTTCAAAAATGCTTTGAACCTACTTTTACAAATGCAAAATTTAATACTGAATTTTCTATTAACAGGGTGTTGGAACAAAAGAATCTGTCCTCATTGAAATCCTTTTAACAAGACCAAACACAGATATCAAAGAAATTGTTGCTTGCTACCAAAAAAGTAAGCAACTTTTTAAGTGAAGAGGCAATATTTTGATTGTTCCCATAATAAATATAATAGTTTGTAGTGGCTATTGATTTGGAAGTATCTGTTTGAAAATGAAAAATTTAAGCAAAATCTATAACAATTTAAAAGTGATGGATATTACATGTATAGTATAAGTTGTAAGTATACCAAGGAAGCAGCGCTTTTCTTGATGTTTGTTGTCTTGAAGGTTGTCATAAATTAATCAAAACCTATCTTCTTTGGAAACTTCAAGACAGGCTCTTCATTAAAGCTCTTCCAAAACAATATGTTCAACAAGAGTTTGGTTACTTTGCTTCTGAGGTTTGTTTGAACTTTTTGGATTATATTACTATTACAACTAAGCCTTTATATCATCTGTTTAATCAAGTTCTTGAGCAAACCTTACAAATTTGGCAGAAAAAAAAAGAAAAAAAATTTTGTTGAATATTCTGTTATACTGTTGAATAGCTCCATTCTTCAGCATTTATACTTATATTTGACAGAATTGCAATAACATGTTTGCGAAAACTGGTATCTTTGATCTTTTTTTATTAAGATTATCAGTGGTGTACCTATTTCTTCTGTAAAACACCAATAAGGGGTTGACACAGAATACTTCAATGAATTATGTATTGATCTGTGATTGGACAGTTATTTTTGTTACAATTGTATTAAAATGTAAGGGACAATTTCCCCATGGGAGATTGTAGAAAGAAGAGGGGGAAGGTACCAAGGGAACATGCAAAGCTCATTGGTTGAAAACAAACTGACAATGCCATGGCAATAAATGAAAAGACAAAAAGATGAATGCCCCCAAAACACATTGCTCTTGTATCCAAAAACAAATGTCACTTTAAGGAAAAAATTAAGAATCTTTAGTTAGGGTCCTTACTTAGTATTTCAGATTTATATATAATGAGTTTTAATTTGTTAAATTTATTGTTACAGACTTGACATCAATGCTTTTGATATGCAATGTATATTTTACTTGTGTAGTAAGAAAGATACTCCCAAATGAGGCCAAAATTTAATTTTTCAATCAAAAATGGAGGAAAAATTCCATTGTTAGTAAATGATATTATTTATTGGTTCTAGTCTTAAAAACACAATGAAAATATACATTCATCTTCAATCAAGAAAAATTTCTTTGTAATTTAGTTCAAAGGCTAGTACTGCAGAAGATGTAAGTATTTGAAGTCTTGGGAATCTTGTTATTTACTTTATTTGATGTATGCCTTTAATATAATATACATGTATCAGCCAATTCAGATGTTATTTCCCAACTGTAAAGAGGGTTTTATCTACCCACATATATATGTGTATTCATATTTTATAGTTGCTTAATGCATGCATAATTCAGGTAGATATTCTGATTTTCAGTGACTTCATAATTGTTTATTATGTAGATTATGGTAGAAGTCTGGAGAAGGACATTATGGATGAAACCAGTGGTCACTTTAAACGTCTATTAGTGTCAGCATGCCAGGTACTTAGAAAGACTTTATTAAATAAGGAGCTGAAGTGATCCTAATTTAAAGAAAAATTTGTTCAAAAAACCACAAACTTACAGTTTTGATGAGTGTATATTTGGGATAAAAGAGTTTTAATTCAAAATACAAAGAGAAATTAAAGTGCATATTTGGGATAAAAAAGTTTTAATTCAAAATACAAAGAGAAATTAAAGCTCAGGTCAAGGTCTTTCCAAGAATGCTAAAAACTTATTATATAGTTATGTTATATATTCACAGGGAAACAGAACAGAACTAACCCAAGAACAGTTACAGAAAGCTGCTACACAGGGTGTTGAATCAGTAATTGATAGAAACCTTGCAAGAGAGGATGCTCAAAAACTATACCAAGCTGGTGCAAAAAAAATAGGAACAGATGAGTCTGCCTTCCTACAGGTTATGGCTGTCAGACATTACTATCAACTTAGAGCCACTTTTGAAGAGTACCATAGGGTAGATATGTTTTAAAGCTCTTTCTCATTTGTAACTGAAGGCATTCAATAAAATCATGGTAACATTCAGTGGCTCTATTCACAAAAAATGGTATGACTAAAATTGATCGTAAATATACTGAAATGTTCATACTTGTATATAGATATAAGATTTTTGTGAAATGAGTCGTATGAGTGAATCTTAAATATGTAAAGGTATTGTGCACCATTGCTTTTACTTATTTTAACCCAATGATTGTTGGGTTCACACAGCAAAACATTTTTTTTTATCATAATTTAGGAACTCCCCTTAACCATTTACTGTATCTCCTTGAAATTTGCCCAGAATTCTTCTTTTATAGTGCCATTTTGCACCTACTATTCTAATTTTTAACAGGATTTCTGAAGGAAAAACTGGTTATTGACTTGGGAATGTACGGCGGGCGGATGGGCATCCGGGCGGGCGGCTGCTAAACAGTGTCCGTGCATTTACTCGTGAACCGTTTAACCAAAGCTTTTTTAAATTTTTATGTGTTGTTACTGATGACAAAATGGAGGTCAAGTTCCATATTGACGATTTTCACTTTCACCGTTCAGGAGTTATGATTCTTGAAAGATTGAAAAATGGTGTTTCCAGTTGTGTCTGTGCTTTAACTAATGAACTGTTCAACTAAAGCTTTTCAAATTTTAATCAAATTTTAATATATTGCTACTGATGACAAAATGGAGGTCAAGTTTGATATTGACGATTTTCACTTTCACCGTTCAGGAGTTGTGGTTTTTGAAAGATTGAAAAATGTTATTTCCAGTCGTGTCCGTGCTTTAACTCATGGACCGTTCAAACCAAAGCTTTTCAAATTTTAATATGTTGTTATTGATGACAAAATGGAGGTCAAGTTCAATATGAATGATTGTCACTTTTACAGTTCAGGAGTTATGGTCCTTGTGATATTGAAAAATGCCAGGACACAAATAAATATTAAAAAAACATGTTTGCTGACACTCTGACAGTCTCTTGTTTTAATCCAAATGATTTATGAAAAACATGGACCCTACCATATCAATTCAAAACAGGGTAGCAGAGGTATGCATTGTCAATCTCTGCCTACATTTTTAAAAATACAGTGCTTTTATTGTTGTCGTCTGTCATCATTTTGAGCATTTAATCCTTGCAACCGATGGATTAGCTTGATTTAGATCCTTGTTTATGTGTAAATCTGGCCAGAAAACACAGTTCCATTTATGAAACAAAAAGTAAAATCACAAAAATACTGAACTCCGAGGAAAATTAAAAAAGGAAAGTCCCTAACCAAATGGCAAAATCAAAAGCTCAAACACATCAAACGAATGGATAACAACTGTCATATTCCTGACTTGGTACAGGCATTTTCTTATGTTGCTGGACAAGAGAAAAAATAACAATAAAATGCGAGGTATAAGTAAAGTGTATTGGCTTCAGTTTCAGTATTATGTGTATGTTCCTCCGTTACTTTGATGTATTTTATCATGTGATAATGTATAAAATCAGTTGATATTATTTAGGGAAATTTTAAAACAAAAATGGCAATAAATTTTAACAATTACTTGGTGCCATAATAATGAGATCGTCAATCTTATGGCTTGCTGGCACAACTTGTCTCAATGATGCAGTCTACTATCTTGTACTTTATGCTCATTTGAATTTCTGCTACGTACATGTATTTGTAAATGGTATGCACTTGTAAGATGGGATGGAGGAACTACAGAAACAAATCTGCCAGTTTTGTTGATGAAATTGACCACTATCTGTAATTTTGTTTTTGTCTCCTTGATATTGCGGACTTACATTCAATCCAGGTTTATTGCCTCTATCAATCACGAAAAGGAAATTAGTAGATCTTGCCTATTACACATGAAGGAAGTGTAATACAACCATTTAAACAATGTTATCAGAAATTTGAAGAAACAAAACATTTGATTCTTTTTTATATTTCCTACAACAAAGGTCATAACATAATGATTCTGCTGTCCGTTATCATGGTGTTAGTGTTGTCAACGTTAAGGTTCAGTTTGTGCTTTAACTGATTAATGAACTTCATTAAATTTCACAAAGCTTAGACATAAGCTTCCTAATAATCAAGAGATATCTCCCTGAGCAAACTTTTTATTTTGAAATAATCTATTTAAATGTATTTCACTGATCAATTGTCCATTAATTTTTTGGTTGTTTTCAAAATAGTTTAACACTGACAGCAGCAGTTGAAGACAAGACACATGGTTCTGTAGAAACTTTTTAAAAAAAACAACTAAAACTTGTTTTTCAGCACAATCCCCACTTTTATTGTTGTTTTCCTTCAGCTGAAGGTAGGGGTAACGGTTCCTAATTTTTAGGGAATAATTCTAGTGGATATGAACTGACCAACCAAATTGTTTGTTCAATCCATAGGTAGCTTCCGTCAATTTTGATAGAAGCAATCCGATGACATCTAATGGGAGTTATTGCCATATTCTTACATTAAAGTTTGAATCAATATGCAAATATTTGTTCACAGTTGGCTGGAAAAGATATCATATCAGCTGTTAAAGGTGAAATGTCAGGTGATTTAGAGGATGGATTCAAAGCTTTAGGTATGTGATAGTTTTATCTAAGTGCAATATGAAGAATTCAATATTTTCAATAGACATGAATGAGGCAGCAACCAAACGAAAAAAGATATAAAAGTCTACATATGGTTTTCAATATAGAAAGTTTTTTATAACTAATATTATTTATTTAATTTATTATTAATTTGTAAAACAATTCATCAATATATTTCCTGATATTTCCAACACTTTCTTTTTTAATTGATGAAAGCTGTTTTGTCTCAATATATAGATTTATACTACTCATATTGCAGTTACCTGTGCTAAGAATAGACCACAATACTTTGCTGAGAGATTACACAAAGCAATGGCTGGATTTGGAACAAAGGATTCTACACTTATCAGAGTCGTTGTTTCAAGGTCTGAGGTAAGAATTGAGAGTTATTGCTTCAAAAAGTTGCTATTTGTTTAGTTTTCATCTTTTTGCTTCCCATGGCAGTGTGAAGCTATTAGTTTAAGTTGATATACATGCCAATTCGATATTGAGGTCTGGAGCTGGCATGTCAGTAACTGCTAGTAGTCCGTTGTTAATTTATGTTATCATTGTCATTTTGCTAAGTTTCTTAATTCTGTTACCTATTCTAACATTCCACTTGGACTTCTATTAAAGTGAGTTTGACTCTGTGTATTGCTGTGCGTTTGTTTATTCTACATTGGCTAGAGGTATAGGGGGAGGGTTGAGATTTCACAAAACATGTTTAACCCCGCTACATTTTTGCGCTTGTTCCAAGTCAGGAGCCTCTGGCCATTGTTAGTCTTGTATATTTTTTTTAATTTTGGTTCATTTATATGTTTTGGAGTTTAGTGTGACATCCATTTTCTATGAACTAGTACACATGTTTGTTTAGGGGCCAGCTGAAGCCTGCCTCCGGGTGCAGGATTTTCTCGCTGTGTTGAAGACCAACTGGTGGCCTTGGGCTGTTTTCTGCTCTTTGGTTGGGTTGCTGGTCTCTTTGACACATTCCCTGTTTCCATTTTCAGTTTGAACAGTTAGTTCTGATTGGTCTGGCTAAGATTCTATTGGCTAGTATGAATTATAAAATTGGGAACAAATTAGGAAGGGGAAGTTTAGGAGAAGAAATTATATACCTATGGTCTGACAGTATGGGTATTTGAGACTAGATCAATGAATATGTTGCTATAGGATCACATATAGCTGGCCAAGCGCTGATTGTCAAAATGCTTTTGCATGAAGATGTTCTTGGCAACTTTCAGAAACAGCATATGATAAGTACACTTACAATAATCAAAATACTGAAAATAGAGATGCTGATATTTGCATTTAATTGTATGTATATATATAGATGTTATTACATGGTTACAGATATTTTTTGTAAATTGAATTTACATAAAAGATAAATAAAAAAAAAGATATATATTTCTCTAATATAAAATTTTATTTCAGTAACATTTTCTAGATATTCTAGAAACAAAGCTAACACATTTGTAAGGTTTAATGAAAAACCCTTATTTTATGCCCTACCTACAATAGCAGGAGACATTATGTTTTCCTGTCTTTATGTCTGTGTGGCGCATCATGTTAACGTTTGGGTTTAAGTTAGTTTTCCATGAAGTTGTGATCACATAAACTTGAAACTTATTACACATATAAATAAGAAGATGTGGTATGAGTGCCAATTAGACAACTATCCATCCAAGTCACAATGTGTAAAAAGTAAACAATTATAGGTCAAAGTACGTCCTTCAACACAGAGCCTTGGCTTACACCGAACAGCAAGCTATAAAGGGCACCAAAAAGACTAGTGTAAAACAATTCAAACAGGAAAACCAACGGTCTAATCTATATAAAAAACGAGAAACGACAGGTTCGTTATATGAACTTTGGATAAATATGCTAAATTACAGTTTTGATTGAAATTTTGTGGGTCACTGAACACGGAAATGTGAAAGTGCAAGCTGGGCATGGTGTCTGATACACATTTTCCTGTTTTATAGATTGATTTACAAGACATTAAGGATGAGTACAGAAATATGCGCCAAAAATCTCTTCATGATGCTGTGGCCTCCGAGACAAGTGGGGACTACAAGAAACTACTTCTTGGTATTATTGGCCAGTAATTTGTGACAGATCAAAGACATTGTTGTTTATTATACACATATAACCATGTTGTTTATTAACTTTTTACAAATGTTATATTATAATCTGTAAGTAAAGCTTTTGTAACTGGGGAGCCAGAATTTATACGTTTCATTTTTTTTAACTTTTGGTAGAAGTGAACTGTGATTAGTTGATCTTGTTCCTGTATCCCATGTATGAGGAAATTTTGTCCAAAGTTTACTTAAAAAAATATTGCAATAGGCTTTTATTGGTGTTGGTCCATACAAAATATATTATATTCAATGACTACAAATTCTTATAATTTTAGGTTTTGTTAGAAAATTAGAATCAGTTTATTTGACTGAAATAAACTGATATTAGAGGCTCTTTCTTACATGCATTTTTTTTAACACTCTTATTTCTTAAATAAATACGTTAGTATTTATAGATTTTATGAAGGTCACTTACAATTACATATTATACAGATGAAGTTGCACTATCTAATAAAGGGTCCATTCTTTCTTTTTGTAAATTTGCAGTTGGTTCAACATTTTCTTTTGTAAAATTACTACTTAAAAGAAGAGATAAATGTTTAAATGTCTGAATAATAACATTATATAAAGCATTTAGATATTGTCAAGTGCATTTTACAGCCATATCAATTTTTAAAAAAATCTTGTAACATATGACGGTGTTTTTTTTTCTTTCATTATTTTTGTATTTATATACTTGAATGTGGTCAAGAAAAAATTTCATTTCTGGTTTCAAACCTGGATTTTAATATGATCTGTTTTTATTTTTGCAGAAATGCTGTTTAATCTTTGCGTAAATAGGGATTGTAATTAGAATTAGACAATTAATTTGTTTTGCAATTCACAATTTACATCGGTTATTGAGACATTTTTTCTCTTGCAAATTGCGCATAATGAACAGAAAATGGTTGAGCCTAATGCTTTTTTTGTAATGACAAACATTTTCATATGTTAGTTAATTATATAAAAGCTAATTCTTTTAGTGTTTTTGTGAAGCTTCAATGTATCAGTAATGTTTTAGAATTTTATATACACAGTATAAATCATTGTAAAAAAGAGAAAAAAAATTATGTCTAAATCAGTACCAAAATAAAGTTTTACCCCTTTGAATTAGAGTGTCAAAAAGTTCATAAGAAATCATGTGTGATAATATTTATGTATTTGCATCAGACACTGCCATAAGCATCATTTAAATAAGGTATCTATTTCTTTGGGAATTTTTGATGACAAAGCACATTCAAAATAGTTTTCAATAATCTGAAGTCCATTCACCTCAAATACTTTAAAGATTATAATAATGCCACTAAACAATTTAGATGTTTAAAAAAATATTGTTAACCCTTCTTTTTTATCAATATTAATAATTAGTGTAAAGTTTTGAATTTAATATTTGTTATATCAGATACTGTTTTCAATTAGATATCAATTTATTAAGCTTTCTTTTTCTCTTCAAAATTGTTTTCAAATAAATTAAAAGTTTCGTAAGTAATCATACAAGTATACAGTTGACTATATATATTTCCATTTAATAGAAGAAAATAAACAGCATTTTCGATAAATATTATAAGTCAGAAGTTTTGAAAATTTTGATGCAATAGAAACTTAAGTTCAAAACTGCCATTATCAGATAGATGATATAAAAAATGTTATAACTGTTAGCAAATAATTTTTAGCATAATGGTTGTCATATGGATTTAATATTTGTAATTCTTATATAGCTATGCATATTGTTTATGATTTTCCTTATTATATTAAATCTAGTAAATCTTGCTTTTCTTGTTGAGCAACATTTGACAGGTGCCACATGTGTCAAATATTAGTGTCACAGATGACCACAGATGTGTTCCAGTTGTTGTAATAGCAATACTGTCCTCTTTTCTTTGATCGTAACATCAATCACTGAATCAGAGTTATCACAGTATTTACTTACCATGAACAACTTGAAGGGTGCACAATTTGCTTACCTTCTGGAGCACCAGTGATCACCCTGGTTTCTGGTGGGTTTTCGTGTTGCGCAGTATTTAGTTTTCTATGTTGTTTTTTGTACACTGTTGTTTGTGTTTTGTTCATTTTTTGCCATGGTGTTGTCAGTTTGTCTTTGAGTTTATATATCCCTTTGGTATCTTGCACCTATCTTCTATCAGTATTTGACATTTTATTAATTAATAGCTTCATTGACATCACATGTACCAAATACTGTAACTTCAGAAATTTTTGTGATGTTTTTATTATTTCACAAAAATCAACCCTTTTGGTACAGCATTTCGTGAAGACACATTAAAATAAATATTGAATATATGTTGCTCAATAATTACAATAAAATATGAAGGCAAAAATTTCTGAATTTACATTAACTGCCAAATCAGTTAGATATTTTAATAAATGACACAAAAGACTACATTTTTTTATTAATATGTTCCCTCCCTTTTAAAGTAGAATGCTACATGATATACAATAAACAAATAAATTCCTAGGATACAAAAAAGAACTATATGAAAATACAATCGACAAGAAGTTAAAAGTGGAAACAAAGAAAGCAAAAATACATTTTCTAAAAATAAATCTGAACTCAGGACTACTGGATATTTGATAAACTTATAAAATGAAATAAAACTGTGAAAAATACCTCCGTTTTAGATGATTTTCAATTACTTTGGCAATCTGAGGCATATGCAACATGAAATCAGGAAAAAGTATGATCTGATAACACCTCGTACTAACAAAAGTGTACAAAGTAGTTTACTGCATTTGGAGAAGGCTCAAATCTAGTTTTAGGATGACCTTGGAATTCTGAGGCTGATGGAATCAAAGCCAAATCATCAAGGGTATTTATTCAGGATGACCTTGGTATTCTGGGGCAGATGGAATTAAAGCCAAATTGGCAAGTGTATTTATTCATCATAATCTTGACATTCAGAGGCAGATGGAACTAAAGCCAAATTTTCAAGTGTATTTATTTAGGATGACCTTGGTATTATGAGGCAGATGGAACCAAAGCCTAATCGTCAAGTTTGTTTATTAAGGATGATCTTGGGATTCGAAGGCAGATGGAACTGAAGCCAAATCTTCATGTGTATTTATTTAGGATGACCTTGGCATTAGGGAGCTACCATTTGATTTTTAGGGGGAGGGGCTAGGATGAAAAATTTTGTCCTGCATTTTTTTTTAGTTGTAATCTCTGTCCTGCCTTTTTTTTTATTAGTTTATCCTGACTTTTTTACATAAATTGTCATCCTGCCTTTTTTAGCTCACCGGGGCCCGAAGGGCCCCATGTGAGCTTATGCCATCACTTGGTGTCCGTCGTCGTCCGTCGTCGTCTGTCGTTGTCATAAACTATTACAAAAATCTTCTCCTCTGAAACTACTGGGCCAAATACCTTCAAACTTTAACTAAATGTTCCTTAGGGTATCTAGTTTATAAATTGTATCCGAAGTTTTGATCCATCGTCAAACATGGCCTCCATGGCTAAAAATAGAACATAGCGATCAAATGGAGTTTTTTGCTTATATCTCAAAAACTAAAGCTTTAAGAGCAAATCTGACAAGGGGTCAAATTGTTCAATTGGTCAAGATCTATCAGCCCTGAAATTTTCAGACGAATTGAACAACTCATTGTTGGGTTGCTGCCACTAAATTGGTAGTTTTAAGGAAATTTTGCAGTTTTATGTTATTATCTTGAATATTATTATAGATAGATATAAACTGTAAACAGCAATAATGTTCAGCAAAGTAAGATCTACAGAAAAATTAAATGACCAAATTTGTCAATTGACCCCTTAAGGAGTTATTGCCCTTTAAATACAATTTTACGCAATGTGTTCATCAAGTTTGATAACATTTAAAAATCTTCTCTTCTGAAACTATTGTGCCTAATACTTCTTAACTTTGAATGAATGTTCCTTAAGGAATCTAGTTTATGACTTGTATCCGAAATTTTGATCCATCAACAAACATGGCCGCCATGGCTAAAAATAGAACATAGGGGTGAAATCCAGTTTTTATACGAACGCAAAAAAATTTTTGTGGTCGTATATTGGTATGACATTGGCGTCGGCCTCGTCGTGTGAAGACACATTAGTTTTCGCACTCTAACTTTAGTTTAAGTAAATGGATCTCAATGAAATTTTACCATAAGGTTCAATACCACAAAAGGAAGGTGGGGATTGATTTTGGGGGTTATGGTACTAACAGTTCAGGAATTAGGGGCCAAAAAGGGGCCAAAAATAAGCATTTTTGTAACTTCCAGACATAACTTGTGTGTAAGTATATAGATCTCTCTGACATTGTACCACAAGGTTCCATATCACAAAGGGAATGCTGGGATTGATTTTGGGGGTAATTGCCTCCAAATTTTAGGAATTAGGGGCCAAAAAGGGGCAAAAAACAAGCATTTTTCTAGTTTCATGACAATAACTTGTGTGTAAGTGTATGGATCTCTCTGACATTGTATCACAAGGTTCCATATCACAAAGGATATACTGGGATTGATTTTTGGGGGTAATTTCCCCCAAATTTTGGGAATTAGGGGCCAAAAAGGGGCAAAAAACAAGCATTTTTCTAGTTTCATGACAATAACTTGTGTGTAAGTGTATGGATCTCTCTGACATTGTATCACAAGGTTCAATATCACAAAGGATATACTGGGATTGATTTTTGGGGGTAATTTCCTCCAAATTTTGGGAATTAGGGGCCAAAAAGGGGCAAAAAACAAGCATTTTTCTAGTTTCATGACCATAACTTGTTTGTAAGTGTATGGATCTTTATGAAATTGTACTGCAAGGTTCCATATCACAAAGGGAAAGCTGGGTTAGAGTTTGGGGGTAATTGCCCTAAACGTTTAGGAATTAGGGCCAAAAAGGGACCAAAAAAACAAGCATTTTTCTAGTTTCCAGACAATAACTTGTGTTCAAGTGAATGGATCTCTCTAAAATTGTACTGCAAGGTACCATACCACAAAGGGAAAGCTGGGATTGAGTGTGGGGGTGAATTTCTAAACAACATGTAATGACCTTGTGCAATTAGATAAGATTGAATTTATTTTCTTTAGATTAAAGATGGTCCACTCCTACTGACTTCATAAACTGTGGAAGTTGAATCTATAGACGGTCAAAGATGATTTTATAGACTCTCCTAGTTGTCTATTTCTACGAACTTTAGGTTAAGATACAAAATAATTATGCAATGAGATAATCATATAAAAATTATAATAAAGAAAGAAATTCTGCCTCAAGTTTATTAGCTCACCTAGCTTTTCTCATCACATAGCGTCCGTCGTCGTCGGTAACTTTACCAAAATTCTCCTCTGAAACAACTGGGCTAAATTTAACCAAAATTTACATTGTAAAACTGATTAGCAAGACAAGATCTACAAATCAGTCTACAAGGCCGAAATCGTCCGTCGACCTATAATTGGAGTTATTGCCCTTTAATGACGATTTTTTTTGTTCCAATTTTTTACGATTTTGCCTTATAAGTGTACAATAAATAGATAGAAACTTTGAAAAATAAAAATGATCAGCAAGACTAGATCAACAAAACTTCTATGCCCAAAACCTTCAATCGACTTGGCATTTTGAGTAATTGCTCTTTAATGACGATTTTTACAAATTTTTAGTGTTTTCGCTTATAACTTAAAACTATAATAGATAGACAGACACTTTAAATCGCAAAAATGATTAGTAAGACAATTTCTACAAATAAGTCAACAGTGCTGAAATCATCATCGACGCCTTATTGTAGTTCTTGGTCTTTAATGACGATTTTTACTGATTTTGGAAAATGACGCAGTCAATTTTCCTATACCGCTGACCAGAAGTCATTTACCGCTTCCAAGCCGCTTTCCGAACTCGGTTCCGTATTTTACATACTTATGTACTATACAGAATTTCATTCTTAACCTGTCCATATGTTTATTGTTTTCAAATGGTATTTTGAGCTATCCCTTTGGTATATTTTTCATATTTATACGAGCTTTCGCTTTTATGTGCATGTCTTTACAATCCGTAAACAAATCATAGTATCCGTTTTGTAATGGTTTTGGACTTTTTACATACCAATGATCACCAATCGCTAGACAAAATAGTTCTTGAAAGAATGTCAACCTTTCTTGTCAGTTGAACTTTAAAATCATTAAAAAATAATAATCGGAATCATCTTGATATCCATACGAAAGATAATGCTCTTTATCAAGATTTACGAAGTTTTTAAGAATCGAAAATTAGTAATACGGTTATACCCACGGGGTGCGTATGTATTTTGTTTACAAAGTTATAGCTGCAGACAGGTAAAAATCAATTTTATTTTCATTATATTTCCATGCATACACAAGTCATAACAACAAATAATTGTTTATAAAACTTATAATGTAACTAGACATGTTTAACCGTCTGTCTTAGCAAAAATTCGTGTTAATAAAGCTGATGGGTTGTTTTATAATTCAAGCACAGCATACAAACACGTGATCGTTCCTTGATGTTTGTTTACTTAATTAATACACGTTGTTGTTTGTTTTTTTTTAACAACATAATTATTTTATTCATCAAATATTGCTTGTTACATAAATCATCAAGATTCCAAGCTTCTCTTGACGTACCCTGTTATGATCCACTGACTACCCAGGGAATAGTCAGCTGATTAGATTAATTGACATACATTTTGTTTACAAAACATTATAATAACAATACTAGAAAAATTCACTGATTATGTTCCTTTTAATTGTTAGTAACATTGGACTTATTGTCTTATGTCCATTAATATTGGTGTCTACTCTCT